TTAAAAAAACTTCCACACCTCAGCTTTTATCTTGTTTGTCACTTTTTCGAATTTTAATTTTTGCTCACACAGGGTGGTCAAAAACGCAAATGTACTTCCAACATGACGGCACACCTGCGCATTATCATAATTGTGCGCGTAACTATTTGGGCACCTGGAGTAACAATCGTTGGATCGGTCGTGATGGGCCTATATCTTGGCCTCCTAAATCACCAGATATGACACCGATGGACTTTTTCCTAGGGGGAATATCCCAATTGAAAGTTACTCATCTCTATTTAGCAATTAGTACATTAATTACGGATATACTGAAAGTGCTCAATCCTTGACTTTTGGAGGATGGTATAAGAATTAACAGTTTTGTTTGTATGCGTCACCTTCGGTAGATAACCACAAAAGGTAAATTGTTGTTAATCTTGATACTACCTGTGTGATCTAATCGTTTCTACAGGGTGGCCCATCCATGAGTGGACGGAATATAACTCATAAACAAATACATCTTGGGAAAATCTATTAACGGGATGTTATACATGACATTTGAGGGCACGTTTCTAAAATATTGGCCATTATACAGGGTGTCACAATTTTGACCTACATATCAAAGTTCTGATTTTTCAAATTTTATTGGATATTTGGATAAACCAATTCAAATGAAGAAAATTGATGTAACGTACTATGGGGTTTTGGTAATTAGCTACTGAGACGTAAGGTGTTTTGTCCAGAAAAACCGTCCTCTTCGGCAACCCCTCAATCCGCCACTTTGAAATTTGTTGAAAATTGGATTAAAAAAACTTCCACACCTCAGCTTTTATCTTGTTTGTCACTTTTTCGAATTTTAATTTTTGCTCACACAGGGTGGTCAAAAACGCAAATGTACTTCCAACATGACGGCACACCTGCGCATTATCATAATTGTGCGCGTAACTATTTGGGCACCTGGAGTAACAATCGTTGGATCGGTCGTGATGGGCCTATATCTTGGCCTCCTAAATCACCAGATATGACACCGATGGACTTTTTCCTAGGGGGCTACCTTAAGCAAGAGGTTTATAGATATTCACTATCTACCCCGGAAAATATGGAGGAAATGATTACGGATGCTTTTCTGAACATAAGGGATGTGCAACAGTCATTTATCCAAAGACTACGGCTGTGCATTCAACATGGTTGAGATATTTTCGAGCAGTTTTTGTAGATTTGGCCTTAAGTAGTGATAGTTGTTTGTTTATGTTGTTGTCATAGTTGTTTTTCTCTATTACGCTTGAAGCTGATTTATACTGTACTGATTGTTATTAGTTGTAACGTCAAATCTGTACTCTTAGTGGCAATATGGAACTAGCCCACTGTTTGTGTTTTGTTTCCATGGATGATGTGATTTTCTTCTTTAATTTTGGTGTGTTGTTCTATTAAAAGCTTAATAACTCAAAATCTAGTGATTCTATCTGTATCAAACCTTATACCAAAAAAAAGATTATAAAAATCAATCCAAACTTGTGCAAATATACAGGGTGACGTATTTGAAATTTTTGAGTAAAAGTATAATTCGCGTTTTTGACCACCCTGTATGAGCAACAATGAACATTCGAAAAAGTGACAAATAAGATAAAAGCTGAGGTGCGTAGGTTTTCTTTATACAAAATTCAGCACTCCAAATTACAAAATGGCTGATTGAGGGGTTGCCGAAGTGGACGGGTTTTCAGGGCAAAACACCTTACATCTCTGTAGCTAATTACCAAAACCTCATATTATGATACATCAATCTTCTTCTTTTGAACTGGTTTATCCAAATGTGCAATAAAATTTTAGGCCGTCCATGTAAAAAATCACGACTTTAAAATGCAGGTCAAAATTGGGACACCCTGTATAATTTCCAATATTTTAGAAATATGCCCTCAAATGTCGTGTATAGCATGCCATTAATAGATTTGCCCATAATGTGTTTGTTTATGAGTAATATTCCGTCCACACGTGGATGGGCCACCCTGTATATGTACATACTAATGTATAATTCAGAATCATGTGTAGAATCAGTGAGTTTCACTAACGTTTCGGCTGTTTATGTATAGCGTAAAGCAGTAGTATTTAAAGCTACCATATACCGTTTAGGAGTGTTACGTCCAACTTTGAAACCTAGATTCCTTAGCACCTTTATACCAACACCTTTTTAGTCGTCTGTCCAAAAATACCGAATCCCTATATTTAAACATCAGCGTATAAAGTATAGTGAGCTCTCAGATATCGTAATTGTATATGGTTGAAAGCGTTTGTTGATTTGTTAAATGAAAATGAATTTTGAAATGATTTTGTTTACAAAATTGAACAGCATAGCTGCTTGGAGGCAAGATCCTCGCACCTGTGGGAGAAAAATTCCCGATTTTTTCAATAGCATTTGCTGGATGACTCTCAACATGACTCAAAGGATTGCTGGGCGATAATTCGGTGCACATCAGTTTTAGAAAGTTTTAAACAAACTGCACAGAATCACTTTCTTCTGCTCCAGACAAAGCTTTCTGGATAATTCCATTAGTCTAATCATATTAGCAAATTTCCCTGAAATAATTGTAAAGTCTGGTTTTATTAGTGCAAGTTGTTCAAGGGGGTATTTGAAACATGGACACATAAAATGGGTATACCAATTTTTGTGGGAAAACCTTTTGTTCGGCACCTAAAAAGGAGAAAACGTGTTTTTTGGGATTCAATCGAAAGTCCTGGCAGTAACGAAAAAAACTGTTCATACAAGTTTTAAAGGTATTTATGAGACCTACAAAATAAGATCACACGTAAAAAGATCCGATGGATAGCAAAAAAGTTATGACCGAAAAGCGAGGCAAAATGCAGGTTTTGGCACTTGTTGGTAACGCGACGATAACTTCACGCAACCACCTGAAATTCTTCAAATCCGTATGACTCATACTTGTAAAAACTCCTGTTTTCCGGCCATAACTACTAGTTTATTGAGCAATATACAGGGCTCGTTCACAGAACATTTAATAGCAAAATACACGTATTTACCTTGCCGATATTCAAACATTTCGTATTTGTGAGTAATTGAACAAATGCGCTACGATATTCGATATTCTATCATATGTTGTTCCGATTTAGTCATAAATGCTAAATGTTTGAATGTGTTTAGGAGAAAAAAACGTAACCCATCATGTTTTGCATGAAAATAACATGTATCTTCCGGAATGGCTTGCGATTCATATCGGCAAGGTAAACTTGTGTATTTTGCTATAAAATGTGTGGTCTCATTTTGTTGGTCTCATGAATACTTAAAAATCTTGTGATGAGAGTTTTTTCATTGCTACCAAGACTTTTGATTGAATCCCGATCCCAATCTTTGTTGTTGAATAAAAAGATTTCCCACAAACATTGGTGGACCCGTTTTATGCATCCATGCTTTAAATGCCCTCTTGAACAGCTTTCAGCAATAAAATCAGACTTTGCAATCATTTCGCAAACCAGGAGTATTTTCGTTTTATATGATTAGACTAAGTACTCGTATTCCGTACTCCCAGCTCTTCAGGGACTAAATCATGTTTATTGATTAGTTAAAAAGAAAATGAAGAATAAACATCTGAAATTAGCTTCTAGATGGATTTTGTTAACAAAATTAAACAGAATTGAAGTGCTGCTTGGAGGCAAGACCCTCGCACCTCCTTTGTCGATTTTTTTTAATCATTTTTACTGGACGAACCTTCTCAGGTACTAAATCTCGAATAACTCTAGAATGGTCAAATTTATTAAGAGATTTCTTTCTTCAGCTTGATCCAGAGAAAATCAAACTGCCTGGGAGAAAAAGAAAAAATATTTTTTTCTAACTTTTTTCAGCTTTGCACCGAGTTTCCTAGCATATATGTTAAGGGGCATTAAACAAACGTGATAACGAACGAAAAAATTAGGTTAGAAAATTGCTCCTACCTTGCTAGATTTTCTATAAAGGAAAGGAAAAATTGACGCAGATATTTTAGAGGGTTAAATAATATGAAAAAAAGTTTCTATGTTTCTATGAACACGGGCCCGAAATGCAGAGTTTTTAAAGCATAAATAAAAAAAACTGGAACTAATAATTTTAATCTATTTTTAATTAGCCTCTTAATACAACAAACAATATCGCAAATTTCAACAAAATCGTAAAACGTAAATGCTTTTTAATATATTAATTTCTTTGAATATATCACCCTGCATCTTGAAAACTCTGCATTTCCGGACCATATTTAGGCAAACCTTTTCCATATTTTTAACAAGAAATCACCCTCTAAAACAATATCTCCGTCTACTTTTTGTACACCCTATATAAGCTGCATAGTCCCGCCTGAGCAGCCTTCAGGTTCTCATTCACATCGGAATTAATTCAATATTTCTTCTGAAAAATAGTAATTATTTATAGAAAATGCTTAACTTCGATTCGATAATCATATACACCACAGCACAAGTTAATTTCAAGCACTTATTTGCTCATTTTTGTTTCTACCACTTATTCGAACATTTTCATATAACTATGACTAGGATACTTTAATATTGAAAAAATTATGTGCGGTGTTATGGTATCTTAACTTGTTGTAGGGGATATATTATATAAGGAAAAAACAGTTTGTTGGCCAAATAACATGTAATTGTACCTGTCACATACTGATGAGCCCTTAAGGTAATCGACCAAAGGTATGACCGCAAAACATGGCGAAAAAATTTAGATCACCATAGACATATCCGAAAATAAACCCTAATGTCCCACCAAGTCTGTTTGCATCCGACTCTACCTTTGACCACATTCCTACAAAGCATTCCCCATCATGTTGTAACAATTGAGTGATTCACAATGTCCAACACCTAGATTATGCCACTTATCGATGTGTTTCTAACAACGCAACGGTTATTCTTTTTGTGTGATTAAGTAAAGCAATTTATATGGTAAATATACATCTTCCCACTACGTCTATCCTTTGTAAATTATTGATGACGCACACATTTATAAATATGAATAAAAACATTTTCGTCTGCAGTTGCTGCTGCAGCACAGAAGTTTATATAATGTGGTCCAGTTTTGTTGTATTTTTCTGTATTGCTGTAGCTTTCTGTGACAGAGTTTCTAGGGAGGATGAAAAATCTCATCATATACCTGATAGGAGTGTTTACAATATAAGGTAGGCGTTTGTCATATAGCATTATAGTTCAATGTACCGTTGGTTTTATAAGTAAGCAGTAAGCTACATTTGTAATCTATTTAGTTGAACATCGACGTCTATCTAGGAGCCTCTTTTTGTCGGTTTTGCGCTTTTAACAACGGCGAAGGTGTTAAGATTCAGTAGTCTATATCAGAACTGTTTACACCAGATATTGCTTAAAATATATATATTCCCGAAGGTTGATCCGTATGCTCCGCCTATGCCTCCTTTGGATGTGCTCATTTAATGATTGTTGTTGAGAGAAAGACAAGCGATCTTAGTAGGAGACTTTTAATAGAAATGGATCCTGTTGCTGAAGGAGTAGTAAAAATGTGTTCTAACAATTGGCCCCAAGCACGTTGGCTCTGCACTTAGTGTGCAACGATGTCATCAGTCGTAAAGTATTAAGTTCAGTATAAGTCAAGACCTCCGAGAAAAAGACAGTTCTGAAAACTTACAACAGAGAAATAAAACGGGTCAAACAGTTTATAGATATTCAATGTCGTTACTCCTAGTTACCGTCCACCTGGCAGCGTTACCCCTTCTCATATTATCAGACGCGGCATCGCTGCAGCGCGAGCAGGACAGTCAACCTGATCGGTACGCCGGGCGGTGCGCCCAGATAGCCAGAGTCAAATGTTAGTAATTCTTTCCTTGAATGATGTCCTCAAAAATGAATCCTGCGTCAAAGATAGGTAACAACGTACCAATAGACCTTTGACGAAAAGTTGTAAGCGTTTGGTTCAAAACTACAAAAAACACATCTCTATAGAGTACATAAACATTTCTTGACCTCGAAGACAAACCCAGAGGTTATAGCAAACCTAATATTAACCTAAAATATGGTGTATGTTAGATCCTTTTTTGGGTACATTGGTAAGGAGAAATGATCTTAAAAATAAAAAATAATTCAATCCGTCTACTAAATAACACTATTATACACCTCGAGGCTACAACGATCCGTTTAGTAAATGTTCTTCTAGTTTAAGACCTTGACAGCAACTTTGAAAGAAAAATCTATATTTTGAAGAGCTTGTAAGTGCCCTGACTGAAGTTAAGGTTACCATTAATATGCTTTCATTGCTATACTGATCTTTGATGACTGTTTGGTTCTCGGTTCTTTTAATGGTAATGCGTGCTAGTTTCTTCAGTGATATTTGAATATAATTTGGAAGATGTCTGAAAATTTAAACCCACAGAGGCCTAAGGTTACCTCACAATACTACCGAGCTGTTAATGCGTTCGGCTCACTATATGGACTGTGTAATTCAGAACGTAATTTTTAAGTGAATTTTCTTCTCTGTGACGCATTTCAGAACCCACAATTTTTTTCTTTGCAACAACCCAATACGGGATTTTAAAAAAAAGCTTTAAGCCGTATCAACCACAGAACTATCAAATTCGAATACCAAACGCTACTAATGAACGCACCCTGATAAAAAGGGCATTCTGATCAAAAATTAAAACCAAGACCAAGTTTCACATGTATTTGGAACTTGGCCTCTAAGTAATTACCACGTCTAGATTAGGACAACGTGGTAAAGATGTACTGTAGGTTAGAGTCGTCAGGGAAAAATTCCTACGGGTCAGAATTCTAAAAAACTGCCACATTTGATATTTTTTCTTTTTAATATTAAAATATGAACAGTAACCTGTTGTTTACATATTATGGTAGTCTTTCCAAAAATACTTGAGTCACCCAAAACACACTTACTTTGCACATAATTAACTACTTCGCGCCTAAAAGCAAGGCGTTCTTACAATTTGAGGTTATCCCCTAATCAGAGTGTCTCGTTCAAATTATTAGCAAATGCGTTAATTGAACTTATTTTCAAGGTCCCTGAAGTTTGGGCAAATATTTTGGCCACATTTGACAAAAAATTTCTTGTGAATAGATTTTTTTTGGAAGTGGAAGCCATTTCTTTTATACACTTAGCTATAGGAGCCCCTTCCCACTTCACTTGGCCCACTTCAAGATTTGTACCAAAAAATGCCTTTATAAACTAAACATGACGAAACTATTTACTAACAATTTATTTTCTCAAAAACATTTTAGATACACTCTAGTCGTAAAAAATACATATTTGAAATCACTTAGACCGATAACTAATAGAACATCTGAACAAATAAACAATGTGCGAATAAATGCGCGAAGTTAACAAAGCAACAATTGAAAGATTACCATTGGGTAACACCACCTTTATTTTTGATTACGGCTGAAATTCTTTGGGCCATAGTGTTAACCAAGTTTAGGCAAAAATTTGGTGTAAAACACTCCCATATTTCTTGAATCTTTTGTCTCAGTTCGGTGATTGTACGAGCAGGATGTTGTCGTAGAACCTTTTTCATCTCGTGCCACAAAGCTTCAATAGGTGACAGATCTGGCCTGCTAGAAACCCATTTGAAAAGTGGTACATTATTTTCTTCCATTCAGTTTATAGCCTTTTTGAGGTATGGCACGCTGCATCATCTTGCTGAAACACAAAATCTTGGCCGGATGTCAAACATTCTTCCATCACTATTAAAAGCGATTCTTCTAAAATTGCCAGATATTTGTTTGTATCCACATTTCCATCAATAAAATGAAGTTTTCCTACTCCTTTTGATGACATACTGCCCCAGACCATAATGGATGCTGGAAATTTCACTTTTCTCTTTAGACAGTCAACATGGAATGCTTCATTTTTTTGCGAATAACTCTACTGCGACTGTCAGCAACACAAACTTCGAATCGGGCCTCATCACTCCATTGTATTGCACACCATTGTTGAGGTGTCCACTGTCTATGTTCTTTAGCCCATCTAAGCCGATTTTTTTTTGCAATGGAGTTAATAGCGGCTTTTCTTTGGCTTATAAACAAGTTATGCAACTTTAGGGTTTTTACTTCACTTTTTTTCTTATAAGAAAACTTACCTTGCAAGTGCTAAATCCCAGTTTGTGGGCCTCTCTATGAGTTGTGGACCTCGAAATTCTCCTTCCAACAGCGTCACTCCACAGAGCACTTAATTGTAAATAATTGGCACGCCTGTTTTTCACGACTATTCTTCTTAATGCTCTTCGGTCGGCATTTGTGATATTGCTTTTTTTCACATATCGTGGCTTAATATTAACTGAACCAGTTACGTCTAACAATATTCCTCACACTGTACCGCGATAAGTCTGGCAAAGTTGCAATTTCTGAGTTTGATTTTCCAGAATTAAAAAATTTAATTATCAGTAACCGAATTTTCTCACTAATAACCTTTCCTCTACCCATTTTGAAAACCTTAACTACCCAAAACTATTTTAAACGTATTCTGACAGCTGTGATTAATAAAAACAATTGTCATGGCTTTTATTTGTCACAGCCACCTATGCGTTATAGACTTATTTTGTATTGAAATGGAAATGGGTTGATATGCTGAAATTGCAGCATGTGTTATTTTTATGCTGCAAATTTGATTAGGGAGTGATAAAGTTGGTGTTTTCTATATATTATCAAAATATTCATTGTTAATATTTTAAACCTATAATACCCTGCTATATTTTTATTATTTGTGTTTCATAAGAAAAAACTATGATTTCAATAGTTGGGCCAACTGAAGTGGGAAGGGGCTCGTAGACAAATGTTGATCAGACACAGGTAGTTTTATAGAGCAAAATTGCTAAAATTAACCCATGATGACCTAAATAGTTATTTATTCCCTGATAGTAATTGCCACATCGACTTAATATTGACTTCTAAATAACTTAGATTTTATTCCCCACTTTGGAAAAAAGGTAAACGCTTGGAAGTAAATATGACTTCTTTTAAATTGGTTATGCAATCTCATTAACCTATTTTGTGTGTCGAATCGATGTTGTTATAACTTGAAGTGTTTGTCGTGTTGCCAACTGAAGCATAAAATTACCGGAGCTGAGCGCCAAAAAATTGAGGTATACCATCCCCCAGCCATTACAACCCCATGGCTCAATTTAAGCCCCTACAAACATTTATCCAAGAATGAACAGTAGCCTCTGGAATGTAAGAAATAAGTTTCAGCGACGGTTCTTTTTTTGGGTCTTTACCCCTAGCTTTGAGGCCACTGAACCGATTTTCAAAAAGTACAAAGCATTTTTCCTTGTTATAGTAGGGACCTTGTGTGAAAACTTCATCCAGATTCTTCTTGTCATGCTATAAACGGGCCAAGGAATAGTGGAAAGTTCGAAGACAGACCGGCAGATCGACGGAAATGTGTGACATGTTGTACATGATATGTAATATCAAAAAACATCAATTACTTATGATATAATCACGCTACCGGGTCGCAAAGGCGTCTTGTAAAACCTTCATGACATCCAGCGTGCAGCCTGTAACGTTAACGACTGCCCAAAACCGTTATAAAAGTGCTTCAAGAGAGATATATAACATTATAAGGACATATTATACAAATTTAATAGTAAAACTGCTACGCTGTCCTATACCTAGCAGGCTTTGAACTGGTAGATTACCAGTCATATTCGCCAGATCTGACAACCCCCCCCCCCCCCGCTATCATACATTATTTGCAAGATCAATATAACATAAACCAGAGAATGAAACTTAAGCGTGAAACTGCCAAAGAGGATTATCAGCAACCGGACATCGACTGAGCAAGGTTTGATGACGTTATTGGGGTTAACATAGAAAAATAAAGAATATGAGTTAACTGTAGTCCAGCGGCAAGTAAATCAGGGGCGGATAATAGGTAACCTTGTTAGACTTCGCATGTACTCTTGATGTTTTTGGAACTTCCTAATTATTCTGTTGTTGCTGAGTGATTAGGGTTATTTATTGTCTCATTTTGATGCATAGAGCTATCCTCTATCTACAATTTGAAGCCCTTTAGATTAGTCTTTCCTTAAAGTGGACAATAATTCCCCCTTGTGGCTACTGGAAATATAGGGAGGGCGGTAAAGTGCATTACCAGACTGGGGAGGCGGTGAATAGATTTGTAGGGGGAGGATTCTAGGGGCCGTATCGTCAGTCGTTCCTACAATTTATTGTAGGACACACCAGATAAAGTATTTTTGAAGGGCGATAGCAATTATTTGATTATCAAAATGGGCAGTTGACTAAATAATTTTGAGAACCTCTGCTCTAGATAGCCTTGAGAATAACTGTGTCTTTGAGAGCTTGGAAATAACATATTTATCAAATAATGGGTGATTTTTTTGCTAGTATCTTTTTGGCAACACTGTTTTTGACAGATGACGCGTGAATCGTGTCTTGTGTCATTGTCAAACTTCTTCAGCTTGGTCTATAATTTAACCATGAATCGACTTACGAACGAACAACGCTTGCAAATTATTGAATTTTACTATCAAAATTCATGCTCGGTTAAGAGAATGCATCGAGCACTGCTTCCAATTTATGGGCAATTTGGTCGGCCTACTGAGGGAGCTATTCGGAAGCTTGTGACTAAATTTCGAACCCAGTTTATATTATTGGACATTAAACCACCAACACGCAGACGTAGAGTGAGGACTGAAGAAAATATTGCGGCTGTATCCGCCAGTGTTAGTAATGACCGTGAAATGTCGATTCGCCGCCGTTCGCAGCAATTGGGCCTCTGTTACCCCACTACGTGGAAAATTTTGCGACAGGCTTTGGCTGTAAAACCTTACGAGATACAGCTGGTGCAAGAATTGAAGCCATACGATCTCCCACAACGTTTCCAATTTGGTGAATGGGCGCTGGCAAAGTTGGAGGAAGATCCACATTTTTATCGAAAAATTGTGTTCAGCGACGAAGCTCATTTCTGGTTGAATGAGTACGTTAACAAGCAAAATTGCCGCATCTGGAGTGAAAACCAGCCAGAAGCATTGCAAGAGCTACCAATGCATCCCGAAAAAATCACTGTTTGGTGTGGATTATGGGCCGGTGGCATCATCGGGCCGTACTTCTTCAAAGACGACAATGGCCGGAACGTAACTGAGAATGGCGAGCGCTACCCTGCGATGATAAAAAACTTTTTTTTGCCCAAAATGGAAGAACTGGACTTGGCTGACATGTGGTTTCAACAAGACGGTGCCACATGCCACAACGCACACGAAACAATGGCCCTATTGAGAGGCGAGTTCGGTGAACAGTTTATCTCACGTTTGGGGTCCGTCAATTGGCCGCCTAGGTCATGTGATTTAACGCCGTTGGACTATTTCTTGTGGGGCCATGTTAAGGCTAATGTCTACAGGGATAAACCAGCAACGATTGACGCACTGGAAGCCAATATTGAAGCATTTATTCGTGAGATACCGGCCGATATGTTGGAGAGAGTGTGCCAAAATTGGACCTTGCGCATGGGGCATCTAAAGCGGAGCCGCGGCCAACATTTACTTGAATTAATCTTTAAACATTAAATTATATCGACCGTTCTATCGACTCAAATAAAGATTTAATCGTTTTTTCACATTTTTGTGTTTTTTTTTTTGAAAATCAAATCTTATACCTCTTAAAAAATCACCCGTTATATCTACGCTTAGTAACTGTGAAGGCAGTGTCAGGACCCTCCACTTTTTAAAAAAATCATAAAGTCTTTTGCAGTGGACCTAGTTACTGGGTAACGAACCTTTGATATTAACTGGTATAAAATTAACTTGAACATACGACCGTATTGCAAGCGACTTATCTCGTCACTAATGTCTAGCATTTGCATGATACAAGCTTTGGTCTTTCTTGTACAATTCACAACAACAATAAATGAGACCTTGAGCACTTGATTCTTTCTTTCTACTCCACATATTAATTATTATTTATTGTTGCAGCTATGCGGCTTCCGATGGTACTGAACGACACGAAACAGGTCTACTGAGGCAGAAAGGAGATACAAGTTTTCTGGTAGTGAAAGGCATATACAGTTGGCTGACAGCTAGAGGCACATGGCAGGTCACCTACGAAGCAGATGAAAATGGATTTAGATCAGAGACAGTCCTATTGCCACCTCGACTGCGTGCACCTATTCTTAATATCAGAATTCAAACAAATGGAATTGCTTCTTTAGTTGGTGGAGGACTGGGTTGATGAATAAACGTTAGCTAAGTTTCTTATTTTCGATCAAAACACCGCCAGAAATGTCAGTGAGGCACCTCAGATCAGTACTAGAGTATACTGGGGTGCGTTTGTATATCACTGGGCAATGTAATACTCTACACAGGAATGGAATGTAACGGGTGATTTTCTAAGAGGTATAGGATCTGATTTTCAGAAAAAAAAACACAAAAAACTTGAAAAAACGATTAGATCTTTATTTGAGTCGATAGAACGGTCGATATAATTTAATGTTTAAAGATTATTTCATGTAAATGTTGGCCGCGGCTCAGCTTTAGATGGCCCATGCGCAATGTCCGATTTTGGCACACTCTCTCCAACATATCGGCCGGTATCTCACGAATAAATGCTTCAATATTAGCTTCCAGTGCGTCAATCGTTGCTGGTTTATCCCTGTAGACATTAGCCTTAATATGGCCCCACAAGAAGTAGTCCAACGGCGTTAAATCACACGATCTAGGCGGCCAATTGACGGGCCCAAAACGTGACATGAACTGTTCACCGGACTCGCCTCTCAATAGGACCATTGTTTCGTGTGCGGTGTGGCATGTGGCACCGTCTTGTTGAAACCACATGTCAGCCAAGTCCAGCTCTTCCATTTTGGGCAAAAAAATGTTTGTTATCATCGCACGGTAGCGCTCGCCATTCACAGTTACGTTCCAGCCATTGTCTTTGAAGAAGTACGACCCGATGATGCCACCGGCCCATAATCCACACCAAACAGTGATTTTTTCGGGATGCATTGGTAGCTCTTGCAATGCTTCTGGCTGGTCTTCACTCCAGATGCGGCAATTTTGCTTCTTAACGTACCCATTCAACCAGAAATGAGCTTCGTCGCTGAACACAATTTTTCGATAAAAATGTGGATCTTCCTCCAACTTTGCCAGCGCCCATTCACCAAATGGGAAACGTTGTGGGAGGTCGTGTGGCTTCAATTCTTGCACCAGCTGTAACTTATAAGGTTTTACACCCAAATCCTGTTTTACACAGAGGCCCAATTGCTGCGAACGGCGGCGATTCGACATTTCACGGTCATCACTAACACTGGCGGATACAGCCGCAATATTTTCTTCAGTCCCCACTCTACGTCTGCGTATTGGTGGTTTAATGTCCAATAATGTAAACTGGGTTCGAAATTTAGTCACAAGCTTCCGAATAGCTCCCTCAGTAGACCGACCAAATTGCCCATAAATTGGAAGCAGTGCTCGATGCACTCTCTTAACCGAGCATGAATTTTGATAGTAAAATTCAATAATTTGCAAGCGTTTTTCGTTCCTAAGTCGATTCATGGTTAAATTATAGACCAGACTGAACAAGTTTGACAATGACACAAGACACGATTCACGTGTCATCTGTCAAAAACAGTGTTGCCAAAAAGATACTAGCAAAAAAATCACCCATTAGATTGACAAATGAAATTTTACTCTGGAATACTGTGAATGCGTAAATTATTACAGAGTCATGTAATGACACTTGATGACACGCGCATGGGCATCATGTAAAAAACCTATAAAACATCAAAGCAAAAAATCTATAAAATGGCATCTTGCAAACTAGGAAGTTTTTAGGGCGCAAACAGTCATTCCACGTTTGCTCACTAGGATCGTTGTGAACGTCCATCTAAGGAGGAATCACTCAACTAAACTAAACGCATTATTGGTTGCATATGTTTTGTGATACCAAATGGTTCTTGTCTGTAGTTTTTATCTCTGAGAAGAAAGTTTATGTGTATTGGTCGGTATATGTATAAAATCAGTGATATTTGCTGTGTGAGAAAATCGTTACTGAATATGCTGCCAATGAAGTATATCAATTGGCTGTGCCCGTCGGGTTATTTTTATGTTGTGCTTTCTGAAGAGAGGTTATTTTCGAAGTTATAAATTACGAAAAACTGAGGATAATTGCAAGAAATCATCACCGCGCCCGCGTTGTGCGTAATTACTGTTAGCATGTATATGGCTTGTAATTCGACAGTGTACTCAGTGAATATAATTATTTCTTATCTCTCTCATTTTTGAAATTCAGCAAGTTTGTATATGTAATTTCCAGAATGGATAAGAAAAAGTGAATGCGCAACTAGCTCTGAATCTCAATTAAGTGTATTTGAGACAAAAATGTAATTATCATCAACACATACAACTTACAGCTTAGACCTCCAGTAATGCCATCTCAGAAGCAGATTTTACATCACATCAGAGCCAAAGTTTGATAACAAGCTACATGACGTTTAGGCAACACTTACAACTAAGTGCTGAGCTAATATCTTGTAGAAAAAACTTACATAATGTCAAAAAAAAACAGCATAATGTCAAAAAAATCGGCATAAGGTCACTTTTCAATTCACGTGATACCCGTGCCGACTTATTTCTAACCACGTTGTATGCGACCATTGTAGTTATTATAAGAGATCCTAGGGATACGAGGTAGCATTCATAATGAAAAACATAGGGTCAAGTGGTGCAAAACCGAGACGATTTTTAAATCTTTTAATTTTTTGTCAACAAAAGACCGGACTTTAAGGCTTTGTTATATTGCCCTGTATATAGAAAGCCATGCAGTATACCTCACGTTAAAAAAAGTTCATAATATTCATAATGAAGAGCGTTTTTGTTAGAAAACCGTGTCTCTTTTTTAACCACTATTTAGGCTAAAAATGAGACAGTGAGAGGTTAAAAACAAGACACTGTATTTTCTGGCCTTTGGTCATTTTACATCAGTGTGGAAAAATATGAGACCCTGGGGAATAAAAACGAGACACACTGCAAGGGTTTTAAAGCGTTTAGTAAGTCAAATAACATAGTTAGGTTTTAAATTGTGTCAACGTTCTTAAAGAAAACTCACATAATTAAATACAAAACTATGTTTATTAAACTAAAAAGAAAACAAATCCAAAAACAAGTTAAATAAACCATACCTAATTCAAAAAAGGGGTAAAACAGGATTTTCAATAGGATTTTAAGAGCTAAAGTAGAAAACTTGTTATTCTAAAGTATTTTGTACTACATATTATTGAACGACGTATTTTTGAAAGTCGATAGGAAACCAATATTGCTGGGAGATACGACAGGTCTTAATTTCTATTTCTGGCTGGGGAAGTTTCATTTCTATGTCACTTTTGTCGATTAAGTACTTTTCCTCAATGGCCGGAAAAATAAATTTAAATCCTTTGCGCCTCAGATATTTTACTTCAACATCGCTCTCAAAAACTTTAAGGATTTCTGCCACGTAGTAAACTTGCGTTTTTTTGACTTAGTCTATTGCGCTTACAAAAATTTTTAAACCAATCTTTCCCGGGCTTTCCTTCCTTAAAGTGGGTAGTAAGGTGGTTTTCTTGTACATAGGTTTGAACTATTGCTGGTATCTCTGGTTTAGTGAGGGTAAACCCCCATTTTGCCATAATTTTTATATTATCACTTAAGTCTACTTCCATTTCTTTGGTTAGAGAAGTTTTTCTTCACTGTTTACCAAGTGAACGAGTACGTCTTCTCGAAAGAGCAGACTTGTCAATTTTAAACTGTTTAGCTGCATTTCTAAGAGATAAAGTGCCATTATCTGTTAGTTTTAGGGCTGTTTCCATGTTCCTTTTATCGTAGGGGCGCTTTTTGGGAACGTGAACCTTCGGCATTATTATCAAAGGTATAAAAGCTGTCTTGTTTTTAAACTTTGTGCTGTCTCGTTTTTGCACCTGTTATTCACGACGTGCCTGCTTGCCAACAAATAAAAATAGACTAAATTCGATATGGAATATCATAGCCGCATTTATTATTTTGAAAACGCGATACTTGCCGAGTCTCTACGATCACGTACAGCGGCGCAACAGGAAAAGTTTGTAAATACAATTAAAAGATTTTTTAAGCAAAATGCACAATCAGATGCGATATTTTTTTCTCGATGTTTGTATTCACGTTTATTTATTGTTCATTACATATTTCAATTGTATATATGTGGAAGTTATTTGTAACGTATTTTTTACAATGTTATTGTTTTTTGCATTGGGAAAAATTGACTGTCTTGTTTTTGACCGAAATTTCGGCGGTCTCATTCTTGCACCACTTGACCCTACATATATTCTGTCAATTCTGAGCAGTTTTTGATAAACAAATAAAATAAACAAATAATGAGTCATGAGAATCCTAAGTGACAGAACTCTTATTAATGTTCGTTCACGTGCGTTGCATAGGAAGTGCAGAGTCAACCTACTCGATTGTTTGTATTTCCAAGCGTATTGTTTAGAGTGAACGACTATAAGGATTGTTGTCATACATCCTGCTCTACTAACAGATGTCCAATAACGAAAATGTCCGAAGAACCACAGCGGCGAGACATGTATGCCCCTCTCCTTTCTTCATTTTTAATGATTTGATATACTGAAAATCCACCAGTCGCCGCACTTATGTGGAAAAAATTACGAATTTAAGCGGTATTCCGTCTTTTTGTGCAAAAACATTTAATTCGTATTTTAGAAACCGATTCATTAGCATGTTGATACATATTAAGTATGAATTTCAAATTGGATTACATCTAATTTATTTTCTTTCTGGCCTCGGCATTTTTTTTCAAATCTCCATATATCCTTTAAGCTAGATTATGAAGTGATGTAGCATGGGTAATCCGCATTCCATTCATTCGCAAAACTTTCCGCCACTTATAAAGAAATAACGAGTTCTAGGAGTACCGCAGCAACACCCTGTAATTTGGATGGAAGCACATTTTTGACTAACGCATAAGTCGAGAGATTCAAGTGTGCAATCGGTCGATATCTCGAATATTGTAAAAAAAATATTTAGAAAAATTGTAGGCTCCTCCTCTATACTATAGGGTGATTCATGAATACGTGGTAACAGAGAATTGCATCTTCGTGAGAGGACTAACCTGCATATTCGGTATATCCTGAAATACTTCTTGAACGAAACTACAGGTTCTGGAGACTTTGCCTGAAAGAGCACCCAACTTTGACAGCTTGTAAGTCAATTTTGCAGGTAAGATAGCGAAATGTTCATCAAAATGAGCTTTATGTTCCATAGTTTCTTGTCGTCAGCAACTTCTTTAAAATTTGGTGTACTGTTTGTATAAGGTGTTTATAAGTCCTAATTCACTTTTTTACTTCCCACGCCTACCGGCGAGGAGGTATTATAATTATTGCAAGAAATTTTGAAAATGAGATAATATGATTTTTTATGTTCTATGACATCATGTTAAGTCCTGTCACTCATTTCCGTCGGTCTGTTTGTCTGTCTGTCTGTCTGTTCTTGGCCTCACTAGAACTTGGAAAGTAATATACAAGCAAATGTACAAAATACTCAGCCTTCAAAAAGAACTTTGAACTCATTTATTTTGGATAAAGTCGAACAATGTGAAGTATGCACCACTGTTATGTCCTTAAAAAATCGGAAAAGTCCTGGGTTCGATGGTATTAAAAGCGAGCATTTGAAAATTATAGCCGAGGACATAACAGAACCACTCACT